GGATCTGCCCAGACCGGGGCAAGAACCCATGTCCCCTGCATCAGCAGGCGGACTCTCAACCACTGCGCCACCAGGGAAGCCCTAGATATTTTTAAGATGAGCCTTCAAAGTAGCTTGAAATTGACCTGAGAAGTATCACGAAAGTTCTGTAATATCATTATAGACACAGAAAACTGAGAGTCAGGAGGAGATTTATGAGTGGTGCAGTCAAAGAAAGCATGCATAAATACATTTATCTGATGCTTTTGTTCAAGGCTGTGTCCCTGCGAAGTACTGAAAGAGGATTCTGCCTTTTTTTTTTTCAATTGTAGATCTTGAGTGAAAGCACCTGATGAATTTGTGGCACATACAGTCTCAATTTGCCTAACTCATTGCAGGATACATGACTCTGCAGTGTCAGCTTCTACCTACCTATTACTGCACGTGTCTCCCACTAGAAGAACAAAATTTGGTGTAAATTCAGGAATTAGGTTTACTCAATTTAATAAATATGTACACTCTATAAAAATTATCTTTTTCCTGCTAGGTGAGGTACCTCACCAGGTACTCTACAGATGTTTCACTCAAATCTCAGAGCAAACCTGTGGGTTTAAGGATGAGAACATGAGGCTCAAAGGGGATGCATAACTGGTCTACAACAGCTAGTAAGTGGCAAAGCTGTGATCTGAATTCACAACTGACTTCAAAATCCACATGCCTCCACCTTTTAAAATATTCTCATTCTTCCAAACCCACAGCCTTTAAATGTATGTGTGTGTGTTTTCATTACCTCACCAAAGCAGTAAGTTCCCCAAACTGTAGATTTCTGACATCCCAGAACTTCTCTCATGATTTCAATGTTTCTGCAATATTCTCAAAACAAACCACCTGGCAGAGTACCTGGCACATGGTACATCTTTAATAAGATATTTTTATTTGTCCCAAACAAAATTTTAGAGATTTATTTTATACTTTTTACATATAAAATATGTCATATTTTATTACATACTCTTATGGTGGGAAAAGTAATAAGCTATATGCCTATAAAAAACATTAAAAAAAAAGAAATTGTTCCTAACCCACCTACTCTTCGGGCACATCTCCAAGGACTGCCTGCCTGTATGCTCTGCATAGCTGAGAGTTTCTCAACTCTATATGCACCTTAGGATAATCTTGGGAACTTCATTAAAAAAACACTGAGGTTTGAGCTCCTCTACAAAACATTCCAATTTATGTGATCTGAGGTGGGGCCCAGCATACCTATATTTGAAGAAAAATTCCCCCAAGTAATTCTAATGTGCAGCCAGGGTTTAGAAATATTACTGAATCCAACCATACTGTCACTTTCCTCTGAACACAACTCCCTGTTCCTGTTCCCAATGCATTGGTCCTTCTCTCCATCCCCACGCCCTTCCCCCAGCAATTCCTCATCAAATGTTGCCATTCTTTAAGTCTCATCTCAAATGCCACTTTCTCCATGAAATCTTCTAAGAGCCCAGCCAAAAGTAACTCTCCTTTCTTTAAGCCCTCAAAGTCTCTCTTACAATAGGTCATAACAGACATGTCAACTTCCTCTAGGAGTAGACGGAAAGTCACAGCTACGTACTAGAGTTCGATGTATACCCACCTGAAATAAGCAGCACCATTTCTACAATCTATTACTTTATTACCTACTTTGTTAGTGACCAGGGAGATGGAGCAATGCTCAGAAAGACTGACAAATTCTTCCTTAAGTCAAAGGCAGATACACAAGCCCAGAGTTGAAGGAAAATGTGAGTTGCTTCCAAGACTATGGATGTGGAAGCCCTGAATAATACCAGTGTTCTAAGAGTGCTGTAAAGTGCATTCTCCCTCAAAATAACCTAGCCTGGAAACACTGAGACAGTCTTCTGCAGCGGGCAAGGACACTGAGTTCTCTTCACATAGTGCCAGTTAGGTGAAAGGTACATGTGATATTCCGGAATGAAATTATACTCCTATTTGATTCAGGAGTGAGATAAAATCACATTCCATTTTGGCCTTCTTTTGTTTTTCTTTTCCTTTTTCACTGTCTCCCAAGAAGAGCTCAGTAGATTCATCCTGAGAGCATAAAAAGGTTAACATTCTCCTCAGTCTTAAAGAACCCATATCAGTAGGGGTTATCTGAAACAAATCAACAATTACAGTCATAGTGTGTTATTTGAGGGGGACAACTCCAGGGGAAGAATCTATTTATTCCTCTAATAGGTAGAAGCTTCCTTTCCATTAAAAGAATATATAATAAAATTACATAAAAGTGGAAAGACTGTGAATGGATAATTGTTTCTCTTTCCATTTGTGCAATGAGGTTTGTGCATGAAGATTGAGGAAGGGTCTTCCTTTCTGTTTCTACTCTTAAAATTGGCTCTCAAAATAGCTTTGACT